CAGAACATGTGTCTGTTGCAGAGTGAATGCTGCCATACACAGTACGTACACAAATGGGCGTGGCTGTGTTCCAATAAAACTTTATTTATAAAAAATAAGCAATAAACTGGATTTGGCCCATTAGCAATAGTTTGCTGACTCCTGGTCTAGAAGATTCTCTGAGACACTTAATCACAGTTTTGACCTCTCCTTGTGAGATTTCCTCATTACAAGAGCTCACACCCACAACGTACTTGACTCTGTTCTGAGCTTTTTACACACATCAACTCATGTAAAACTTACAAGAGTTACTATGAATACCTCCGTTTTACAAATGGGAAAGCTCAGGCACAGAGCCCTTAAGCAACTTGCCTAAGGTCACACAGCTAAGTGGTAGAACCTGGGACTCATCAGGCGCCCAGAGGCCAGGCTCTTTGCCACTCTGCTCTACTGCCTCCTAGTGTCCCTGTGAAGAGTTGGTCCCTGAGGTAGGGAAAATAACTTAGCCTCTCAAACCTTCCCTAAGCCCTTTATCTGGAACCCAGCAGCTCAGCAAAGACTTGTTGCACGTAAAATACTGCACGCAAGGCCGGCAGTGCCTCCTGCAGGAGAAGGGGCCTGGCCTCTGCGGGGACTATGGGTCTTGGCTGCAATTTCTCGCTACCACCACCCCCTTCCAGCCAGCCCTGGGGAAGAGAGCACAGGCTCACCACGCCACTTCCAAAAACGAGAGCATATGATGACTAGGTCTATAATGGGAAAACACTGCCTTGAAGGCCAGAGCCCAGAGACATAGAATGATTCACATTCTATGCCAGAGCAGCCATTGGTGTGAACTGCATTTCCGAGCATCTGACCCTAACACAGAAGCTAATCACACCAAGCAGACAGTGCACACGACCTTGTGGCTTTGGGATGGGTCCCAGTGCACAATGTACCAATGTTTCCAGGTTTTTCCCCTTTCTTTGGCCTTTGTTTAAACACAGGATCCCATAATGACTCACTAACTAACATGCAGATCCATTAAGCTCCCCAAACGCCTTTCTGAGGCAGGAGAGTGGCAGAACCTGCAGTAGGCATGATCAAAGAGGTACATTTTTATACAGCTCAGACCCGACCTTACACCCGTTAGATAAAGGAATGAATGAACCCATCATCTAGGACATACTGCTGGGCACCTGCCATGTGCCCAGCGCCGAGTTGGCTGCTTCTCCTAGGCTAGCTGACCTGCCTGAGAACTGAGAGCAGAACCCAAATGCCAAGGGCATGGCGCAGATGGTGAGCGCTGGAGGTTCTCGAAAATGGGAGAGATGGAAGGTAGTCATAGGAAGGAGGTGGGTGGGCCCACCAGGCCTTGCAGGATGCAGACTGGGGTGGGCTCTGTTCAGAAAAACTGTGAGCATGAGTAGCAGGGAGTATGGGATAGGTGGGGAGGGGAGGG